TCATGACATCAACCATACTAAAATTATTCAATTCCGACCTTAAATCGACTTTCAAATCTTCAAATTTTAGCTTAGGAAGTTTTCACAAACTTTTCCAATTATTCCAACTCAAAAAACTAATTAAATGATAAAAACAATGATGGATTCATGTAAATAGTTAAAATCACTTACTCCGATCAACTCTTTGAAAATCTCTCTCAAAATCACCCAAAATCGAGGTCCCTAACTCAAATGATGAAAAATAGGAATAAACCCTAGATCTTCCCCTTTTTAGCCCAGTGATTCCGCATTTGCGGACAACAGTCGCTTCTGCGGCTCCGCACCTGCAGAAAATCTATCGTAGGTTCGGATTTTCATTAAGCTAGAACTTTCCGCTTCTGCGAACCCAAACTGCTTCTGCGCTTCTACTTCTGTGGACCATGGAGCGCTTCTGTAGAAGATTGACCGCACATGCGGTCCTCCCTAGCCCAACTCAATATCTGCTTCTCCGATAACCCCATCGCACCTGCGGCCAAGCCCACCACAAGTGCGATGACACCAGAACTTTAGTTTTTCAGCAATCCACTAAGTCAAAAAATGAACCCGATTTCAATCTGATTCACACCCGGGGCTCCCGGGACCCTGTCTGATCATACAAAAAAGTTTCAAAACACATAGCGTCTCGAGGCCTAAAATCGCATCAAACAACATCGATTCTACGAATCGCAACCCAATTACTAACGTTGATTCATACCAAACTAAATCTGATTGACCTCAAATTTTGCACACAACTCACAAATGACACAAAGGATCTATTACAACTTCCAAAATTTGAATCCGACCCCGATATCAATAAAGTCAACTCTCGGTCAAACTTCTCAACCTTCCAAACCTTCATCTTTCCAACTTACACCAATTCAAGCCAAAATGACCTACGGACCTCCAAATTAATATCTAAACACACTCCTAAGTCCAACATACCCTACGAAGCTATCTGAACCGTGAAAACTCCATTCCAGAGTCATCTAAACAAAATTCAAACTCCAGTCAACTCTTTCAACTTAAGCTTCCAATTTTGGGACTAAGTGTCCCATTTCACTCTGAACCTCACTCGAAACTAAACCAACCACTCCGGTAAGTCACATAACCATAATATAATATAGAAGAGGCAATAAATAGGGGAACGAGGCTAAAATACTCAAAACGACTAGATGGGTCATTACATAATTAAATCAGTACCCTACACTCATTATCTCACTTCTACCCTTCAGTTCATCATTTAGCTCAAACATTCAAAACCTAAAACAACCAAGACAATCCCCATTATGAACTACTACCAATAAGAAGAAAGACCATCAATGGAGTATCAATACGGAATGCAACAACATGACTATCAAACCATCCAAACAAGCTTATAAACTAACTAACATGTCTCTCAAAATACTTAATCCAAAACAACATCAACATATAAACTAGTTGAAACCAAACAAATAAACAATAGCAGTGGTTGACCAAACTACGCAAGCTTCAATCAAGCTTAATTCAAAAATTGCAACAACTACAGGGGTATAAAGTTGTTGAGACACACTATGATGGTGTAGAAGAGGGTAGTGGAAGCCAAAGAGAGGAGGAGCATGTCTATTTCCAAAAACCAGTTTGGATTCATGTCGGGGCGTTCGACGATGGAAGCTATCCATTTGGTGAGGAGACTAGTGGAACAGTATAGGGAGAGTAAGAAAGACTTGCATATGGTGTTCATTAACCTTGAAAAATCATACAATAAAGTCCCGAAAGGAAGTTCTGTGAAGGTTCTTGGATGTTAGTGGCGTCCCGATAGCGTACACTAGGATGATTAATAATATGTACGATGGTGCTAAGACTCCGGTGATGACTGTGGGAGGAGACTTAGAACATTTTTCAGTTATGATGAGGCTGCACAAGGGATCGGCTCTTAGCCCGTTCTTAATTGCCCTGGCGATGGACGTGCTGTTGTGGCACATCCAAGAGGAGGTGACATGGTGCATATTGTTTATAGATATATAGTGTTGATAGACGAGACACGAGGCGAGGTTAAGACGAGGTTGGATATTTGGAGACAAACCTTAGAGTCTAAAGGTTTCAAGTTGAGCAGGACCAAAACAGAGTACTTGGAGTGCAAATCAATGATTGGACCCTTGAAGTAGACATGGATGTAAAGCTCGATACTCAAGTCAGCCTCAAGATAAGTAGATTCAAGTATGTCGGATCTATTATACATGGTAATGGGGAGATCAATGAGGATGTCACACATTGTATTGTAGTGGGATGGATGAAGTGGAGGCTTGCATCTGGTGTTCTATGTGATAAGAATATGCTGCTAGAACTTAAGGATAAATTTTACAAAGTGGTGGTTCGACTGACCCTGTTGTATGCGGCGGAGTGTTAGCTAGTCAAGAGCTCCAATGTGCAGAAGATGAAAGTAACAGAAATGAGGATGTTGAGATAGATGTGTGGGTGTACCAAGAGGGATAAGATTAGGAATGAAGTTATTCGGTGCAGAGTGTGAGTGTCCTCAGTGGAGGACAAGATGCGAGAGTCGAGGTTGAGATGGTTCAGGCATGTTAAGAGAGCAGCATTGATGCTCCTGTTAGGAGGTATGAGAGGTTGACCATGGCGGGTTTGAGAAGAGGTCGAGGCAGACCTAAGAAGTACTGGGGGGATGTGATTAGGCAGGACATGGCGTGACTTCAGCTCACTGAGTGCATGACCCTTGATAGAAGGGTATGGAGGTCGAGGATTAGGGTAGGAGGTTAGTAGGTTGCTGAGAGTTACCCCCTTTCTTACTAGTAGTACTAGTAGCATGCATGTACTTTCTTATTTTTCATATCTATATTACATCATGTTGTTTAGTTTGTTTCAGTTATTGTATTCTCCTGTTGTTACTATTTTGGCACTACTTATTATTTTCTCCCCATTTCTCTCTTCTCCTTTATTTTTCTTCTTATTTTCTCCCTCTGCTTCTTCTTCTTCTCCTCCTCCTTCTCGGAGCCGAGGGTCTATTGGAAATAACCTCTCTACCTTCACTAGGTAGAGGTAAGGTTTGCGTACACACTACCCTCCCTATATCCCACATGTGAAAATATACTGGGTATGTTCTTGTTATTGTTGTTCTAGTGGTTGACCAAACTAGTAAAGAGGAACAAAATAATATAGCTAACTCAATTAATATAAACTACTAACTATTAAAAACTAATCGATCACTCTCATAATATAACAGACAGTCATAGAAACATAAATAAGAAACAAAACTAAACTATAAACTAAACTTATTACTAAAATCAGGGAAAAACAATTTTTACCAAAGCTCGGGGATCCATAAATCGGCTAAGATCATCAGAGAACAATGGAACAGCCCCGACACGAACTCGACTATCAAACATGTCTTTCTTATTGGTGGAAATCATAACCTTGAACTTTAACAAGCCAGAAATCAGCTACGATTTTCATCACTAACAAGAAAGCGTCTCTGGAGTCAGCAATAAACCATGGATAAGACAAGGTTCAGGCATTTGTAGTGATGGTTAGGACGTAGTGGTGGTGATTTCCCAATAGAGAAGAAAAGGTGGCGCCTAGGGTTTTGATTTTGGATTATTTCAAAGAGTTTGAGGATTCGGGTTCCGGATATGGTACGAGGAGGAAGAGACAAGGAGATGTGTATAATTGTAGAGGTGATTTGGGCCGTCAGATAGTCGTGGAGCAGCAACTGCAGTGGTGGTGAAGCAAGGTGGAGGAAGGGTTCTTTGGTGGTTTAGCTTTTGGATTTTGATAGAGGATGAAAATAGGAGAAAAATGATATAAAATTTGGGTGGTTTTGAGGTGGTCTGCCGCCAGTGAAGAATTTCAGCGGGTGTGGAGGGAGTGGCTACAACAGAGATGAAGGAGAAAGAAGAGAGAGAGATGAGGGAAGGCTCTAGGGTTGACAAATGGGGAAAAATCTGAATTTCCAAGATTTATTTACCTAGGAGGGATATTGAGTGAGGACCATATTTGCAATAGTGGCCCACGCTAACGTCTCTCTATCCCTTTAACGTCTTTCTCGTTAACACACAGTTGCTAACACCGGCGTAATTCCGGCGACCTCCACCGGAATCAGGTAAGTCCCCCTCTTCTATATCTTTTCTTTTTCTCCCCCCTCTTCTTTCTTCTATCCCCGCTCGTCGGATCTGCCCCCCATCTTTCTGTCTCTTTATCTTCCCCTTGGTTTTGCTCTCTCTTTATTCATCCTCCCCTATCCCTCTTCTCCTCTACCCCTATTTATTTTCTTTGTGTTGCCGTATACCATTGTCTAGCAGCGATCCACTTCTTGGTCGGCTAGGTTTTCTTGGTCGTGTTCTTTCCTTTCCTTGCTCGTTGCTGTTCGGATTTCTAGATTTAGTAGTGGCGACAGAGGATTTCTGTACAGAGGTAACTTTCTGGCGAACCATGAGAGGCGCATGAGGCCCACGCATGGGCAGCTAGAGGCGGGTTGTGCATAGGATTGTCCATACTGCATCTGTTGTTGGTCAACATTGTTTTGGAAGCCATATACATTCCAGATCTATCATTCCTGGTTAGTATTTGTTCTCTTTCTTGTTTATAGCTTTGTTGCTTGCCTTTCACCTTGAATATTGCATTTACTTTGGCGTGCTTACCTTTCTCTATCATTAGTTGAGTCACTGTATCTCTTGTGTGCTTAGTAAAGTTTTAGTCTATATTGAAGCTTTTTCGCTTGTTTGCATTTGCAATAGTTATAGTTTTAATATATATATTTGTTAGTTTCTTTGTTGGTGTAGTAGCTAGTCGGAACAATGGTAGAGTAGGGTCATGTCCTTGGTAGGCCAGGGGGTGGGGGCAAGGGTGGAAGGGGGAGTAAGGGATATAATAGGATGAGAATGGGGTCCTGGAACATAGGCACACTGATGGGAAAGTCTATAGAGTTAGGAAAGATTCTTCAAAAGAGAAAGATTAATATAGCATGTGTCCAAAAGACTAGGTGGAAGGGTATGAGGGGTCGAGATATTAACGGGTTTAAGCTATGGTATTCAGGAGGGGTTGTGGGCAATAACGGGGTAGGTATTTTAGTTGGTATGGATCTCATAGAGATGGTAGTTGATGTTAGGAGGGTGAATGATATACTAATGACTATTAAGCTAGTGGTTGGTGGGTTCACTATTAACGTGATTAGCACTTATACGCCTCAAGTGGGCCTGGGCAAGGAGGTCAAAAAGCACTTCTGGGACGATTTGGACGAGGTTGTGCGTGGTATTCCACACGCTGGGAAGTTTTTCATAGGGGGTGATTTTAATGGCAATATTGGGGTGATTGCTAGGGGTTATGACGAGGTGCATGGCGGGTTCGGTTTCGAAGATAGGAACGAGGGCAGTACCTCATTGTTGGATTTTGATAAAGCGTTTGACTTGGTGTTAGCTAATTCATATTTCCAGAAGTGGGAGCAACACTTGGTCACTTTCTGGAGTAAGGTAGCCAGGACTCGGATTGATTACCTTCTCCTTATGAGGGGTTATAGAGGCCTTTGCACTGATTTCAAGGTTATCCCAAGTGAGTGTCAGTCGATGCAACATAGGCCCTTGATAATGGACTTGGAGGTCAAGTGAGTAAGGAAGAAGAGAGTGATGTACGGCCAGCCTAAGATTAAGTGGGGAGCCTTGACTAAGGCAAATGCTCAGGCATTGGGTGAGAAGTTCTTGGCCATGGGGGCTTGGAGGAGTAGTGGGGACACGAGTTGTATGTGGACCACGACAACAAACTACATTAGGGAAGGTGCTAGAGAGGTGTTAGGGGTAACAAAGGGTTATTCGAGAGGTCACAAAGGAGGCTAGTGGTGGAATGAGGAGGTCCAAAGAAAAGTGGAAGCTAAGAAAGCAGCATATCTGAAGCTAGTGGGGAGCACGGATGAGGAGGAAAAGAGGACGTGTAGGGAATGTTATAAGAAATCAAGGAAAGAGGCAAAATTAATCATCTTAGCAGTTAAGACTACAACTTTTGAGCGATTGTATGAGGATCATGGGGGAAAATGAGGCGACATGAAGCTGTACAAGTTAGCTAAGAGTAGGAAGAGGAAAGCTCGGGAGGCCAAGATCCTCGCAGGTGCGATCACACCAGAGGCAGCAGTTCCAGCATTTTCCTTAAGTCTGAATTTGATCCGTTAACTATCCGAAACTCACCCGAGGCCCCTGGGACCTCAACCAAATATACCAACAAGTCCCATAACATAATACGGACCTACTCGAGGCCTCAAATCACACCTAAAAACATCGAAACGACGAATCACACCTAAATTCAAAATGAATGAACTTTGAAACTTCAACTTCCACAACCGATGTCGAAACCTATCAAATCACATCTGATTGACCTCAAATTTGCACACAAGTCATAAATGACATAACAGACCTATTCCAATTTCCATAATCGGATTCCGGCCCCGATATCAAAAAGTCAACCCCCGGTCAAACTTCCCAAAAATTCAACTTTTGCCATTTCAAGCTTGATTCCACTACGGACCTCCAAATAATTTTCCGGACACACTCCTAAGTCCAAAATCACCATACAGAGCTATTGGAATCATAAAAATTAAAATCCGAGGTCATTTACACATAAGTCGACATCCGGTCGACTTTTCCAACTTAACTTTCCATTACGAGACTAAGTGTCTCAATTCATTCTGAAATCTCTCCGGACCCGAACTAACTAATCCGATAGGTCATAATACAGCTATAAAGCACAAATGGAGTAGTAAATGGGGGAACGGGCTGTAATACTTAAAACAATCGGCCACGTTGTTACATTCTCCCCCACTTAAACATTTGTTCTCGAACGTGCCAAGAGTTGTTTCCAAGCCATCAAATCACTATTCCATATAACCACACACGTACCCGGGGATGATCCCACGTCACCCTATTCTATATAGGCTTGATAACATAATACAACTGAAAATTATTAATTTAACATTAGCCCATAAACATTGGAATTTAAATTCCCAACATTCTGAATTTCTTACAAGGCCCGAATCTCACAATTACACACTGTATAAGTCTAAACAAGTTGCATCGAGCCATAACTATAACCACAGATATAATCACCTAACATATTACACAACTCGCATGCTCGTAGCACCATTCTTGATCACAGTAACTACTCCAAAATCAACCAAGTACTAGTATTAAACCCCATATCGAACCAAACATCATCCCAAAACCTTCGTACACTGTTGATAATACAAGAAACACGCAGAATCTCGTAACCCCTTATCAGATCAATAAGTCATGGAGCTCTCTCGCCCCAACCAGAACCATAATCACTTATTAAGCCGGCTTTCAATATTATCCTCCCGAATATACCATAATCGAACCTGATAGTACCCATTCTAGGTCCAATGAACTTATATTATTAAACACAACTATCCCATATACATGTCACACCAATATAACTCAGAGCCACAACCCGTGCCATCCGTGCACAAATACGCAATAATTCAAATGTACTCAGTCATGGAAAAAAATGACTCAAATGAGAGAACTGCCCCACAAGATTAACAAGTACCGCCATAACGAAATGCTGAAAATCCATCACACCGTAGAGCCATCACACGATTCTAACACAAGGTTCATACCTTAACATAACTTCGCTGGTCCATATTGCATACCTCGAGCCACCCTGCTCAAAATTAATAATCACGGAGAAGCAAATGACACAATACCACACAAAACCTGAAAGAACCTAACCAATACGCAATCGATCATGCAATGCCCAAATATTCATCTCGCTCAGATTCCGCCATAAGGTCCCCAATAGAACTGCACCATGTGTGCATACAACCAATGAATCACAACTCCTCGTAGCATAGAAGAGTAACTCACCGATATTTCCAGAACACGAATAAGCTCAACATCAACCGAATGGCACATCCCCCAACTATAGCAGCGTGGGGCCAACCAATTGGACTCGGTGTAGAATACAACTCTGGTAACCCATAAATAGATAAATAACCCTCCGAAAATCCACAAAGACTGAGTCATAATACATACTATTATCAGCTAGCTTCGTCCACGACTTCACAGTCCACAACCATGAAACAATCTGCTCCTGACAACTCCCGGTCTCCAAATCCATAGAACACATGAATCACCATTTCTGATCCCATCTCTACCGCCCGAATGTCTAACACATCTATCATATACGATCATCCCACGAGGAATACTTCTCCCATTCTTTCGTGCCACATAGCAACGTCTTAAAATCAGCAGTCGATCAACTAGGAGAGTGCCACAACACCTATGAAATATCACATAATTCAAAACATAGTGCGCCTTCTGGAATGTACACTTTACTCATGCAATACCAAATAGTTGTAGCATTTATCTAAACATCGAAAACCATCCATGCCCTCTAAGAATTTATAACCTCCCCTTCAAAACTAAATTGTGACCTTGCACATGCAAACCTTAATCCCACACAACACACCGCATCTATTATGCCATCATATGAAAAATACGAGAACCTCATAATCATTCTGAATCGCAAGTAGAATACATATCCGATCAGCCAGAAGCCCTCATTTGCTCCCATACAGGAGGAAATCACAATACACAACATGTTCCTCAAGCCGATAGGACATTTCCGTCTTAAACTGTGATAGAAACCATCGAGAACTCTTTGAAACCTATTTGCAGATAACAAACCTAATAGAACTGAATTCCTCTAACTCAACCAAGCCACACAGGTTGCCAAATCTGAGAGTATTATTACCAAAACATCTGTAGAGCCTCACAACATCATAATCATCCAAAGAACCAATCATATCCATTACCATACTGATCCAACCTACTACCAAGCTGTCCTATTTCTCCGAGTCCCTTCCAAATTTGTCTTCATATTGATACTTCTCCTTGCTAAAACAACACGATCTTTAACCACAACTCACCCCGCGAACCCTAACATGGAAACACAACGCTCTAAGGCCCATAAGCTGCTAAATTTCCCTCTTAAGTACCCCAAAAGCACCACAACCGAGACATCCACTCTGAAAGACCTTATGTGAAATTTAAAAATGTTCCTCTTCCCTTTCTTATACTGAAATGTAGAATCTATAGTCATACAGAAATACCGAAAGTGTCGGCACCATCAAATACAGATGTTAGACTTTATCCATACACAAGTCCGGAGAAATTCTCAATTGCTATATATAAATCTCAAACCCATTAGAACTTTCTCGAGAGTCACCCACCTTACTCAAATCCAAATTACACTGCCCGAACGGGCAGAAAGACAGATGCCCAATTAGTACAACAACACTCAAAGAAGTAACCTTGCTTTAACACCACCAATCAATTCATACTCTGTGCGAACTGCATCATTCACTAATAACAACTCACGCATCCCATGACTTTCATATACTCATAAAGCACAATATAATTCGTATTCAGTAAATTTTATTATTCTGGTCTTTCTCGATCTCCACCTTTGCAAGTCATAACTAACCCACAAGGATGCCTCAAACCAAAGATAAAATTTAACATGTAACCATGAAATTAAACCGTCAGCAGCAGGCTCCCCCACTTGGCTCAAAGCCATAGATTAAAACACTCGATAACTCACAATATCCATACTCTATTATTGTCATATTACTGTAATCAGTACAACAAAAATTCTTCTCAAGCTCATACAACGCCAATCATAAAAATACCTCAATCGTTCGTTAAGTTCGCATTCATTCTCTTAACATTCAAGTCAACTTTCTCAACCAGATTCAAGTTCAAATCTCATCACATATGCCCTACTGGCAGAAAAGAAACTCTCCATTCACATTATAAGGAACACACTTATGTAGATTACTCTGCAGGGGATAACCCATATGCTTAGCCTTAAATTTGTATCTTGTTATACCCTTTCGCATTCACAATTACTATGCAATCACTTCGTCTATCTGAGTCCAAACTCACTAACTAGACATGAGAATTTAATTTGTCCCAAAATGACGAAAAAGATCCTTCAAAACATTAATATTCGAGATTGTACCTTACATCAAAACGAAAATCAAGCACCCAATGGCCCCTCCTTTACATTTCAAGGAAACACTTCTCGTCGCATTCAAATCATCTTAACACATCCCGCAGTCACATCATACTCATCACAAAGCCATTCTACCTCTCATCGAGCCACAAATTCCACTCGTAGGGACATTACCGGACATATGTGTCCAAATGTAAAAGTTACAACTGAAGCTACCAAGCTTAAGATGTGGTCTAACCCTAGTCTCAAGTCCTCCACACTAGCCCATCACCAAAACATAGAATACTCATCTCGAACCTCATTCATGAAATAACAAGACGGCGATGCACAGCTGATACTGAGCGCTCATGTGCGCATACGAATGCATGGAAGGAATTCAGAGAGTTATGTTTCAAGCTGAATCAATTTCGCACGATAGGAAAAGAAAGATGGAAAATTATCCTAAATGCCCTATAGCCTCTCGATGATAAATATAGACGTCATCATACAGATCCGCAAGACTCTACTAGACACTTGCTCATGACTTGTAGAACCTATGAACCTAGAGCTCTGATACCAATCTGTCAAGACCCAAAATCCAATTAGT